TCAAGCTGCTATCCATCATATTTGAAAGGTCATGGTAGTCTAGTGAAGTTACCCCAATTGGAAATGGGGAATCATAACCCCTGTTTTCAAGAAGGGGGGAAAAAAGATAATCCTGAGAACTACAGGCTAGTCTCACATCTGTGCCTGGCAAGATCATGGAGCAGATCCTCCTGAAGGCGTGACTAAGGCACATGGAAAATAGATATGAGGTGATTGGTGGTAACCAGCATGGCTTCACCAAGAGCAAGTCATGCCTGACAAACTTGGTGCTTAAAAAAAACAAGGGACATCAGGTGACCTTGCCAGGGGTTATATCATTCTTTCTGAATGAAAAGTATTCTGGGGTGTGTAGCTCTTCTCTTCTGGCCAGGTGCCTGGAACCAGAGCATTAACTCTTTAACTCGCAGTGCACTACATGATGCTATGATATGGAATACCAATAACCAAAAATCATAAAACCATGAAAAGTAGATAAAGGAAGAGCAACTGATGTCATCTACCTGGTGTTGTGCAAAGTGTTTGACACTGTCCTGTGTGACATCAAGGTTGCCAAACTGGAGAAAAATGGATTTGATGGATGGACCTCTTGCTGGATAAGGAATTGGCAGAATGGTTGCACTGAAAGAGTTGTAGTTGGTAGCTCAATGTTGAAGTGGAGACCAGTGGTGAGTGGCATTCCTCAGGGATTGGTGTTGGAAGTGGTGTTATTGTTGGTTTATAAGTTGGTTGAAAGACTCAATGTGAGCTGGCGGTGTGTGCCTGCAGCCCAGAAGGACAACCCTATCCTGGGTCACATCAAGAAGAGTGTGACCAGCAGGGTGAGGGAGGTGACTCTGCCCCTCTACTCCACTCTTGTGAGACCCCAAATGGAGTACTGTGTCTGGTTCTGGAGCCATCAATGCATGAAGGACATGGAGCTGTTGGAGCAGGTCCAGTGGAGGGCCACAAAGATGATCAGAGGGTTGGAGCACCTTCCCTACAAGGACAGGCTGAAGAGAGCTGGGGCTCTTCATCCTGGAGAAGAAAAGGCTCTGAGGAGACTGTATAGCAGCCTTTCTGGTACCTGAAGGGGGGGGTCTTTTTTAGAAGGGCGGGGTCTTTTTTAGAAGGGCATGTAGTGACAGGACAAGGGGAAATGGTTTTAAACTGGAAGAGGGTAGATTTAGACTAGATATCAGGAAGAAATTCTTTACTGTGAGGGTGGTGAGACACTGGAACAGGTTGCTCACTGAGGTTGTGGATGCCCCCCTCTCTGGAAGCATTCGAGGCCAGGCTAGATGGGGCTTTGAGCAATGTGGTCTAGAGGGAGGTGTCCCCCCTGTAGCAGGAGGTTGGAACTAGATAATCTTAAAGGTCCCTTCCAACCTAAACCATCCTAAACCATTCTACACTTCTATGATACGATGTCCTCCTGTATAGCCTCTTCATGTTTTACTTTAGCATTCTATCCCCTTAAAGATGTACAGGATTATCTGAAAATAAGAGTCTTGTTCTCCTCCCCCCTCCAATATCTTATTTCCACCTAATCTCTGTTTCTGTAGAGAACACTTAGCCCAATTTCTTCAACATTTGTTTCTCCTGTGCTTACTGGTCCTGAGTGAAAACTGGTTATAATAACCTTCAGTGATATATAATCACTGTTGAGCCCAGAATTGTGCCTCCTTTGCACCCAGTTACCTGCAATATATGTTTCAAGACAAGTTCTTCAATGTTTTAGCAAAATGCAAAGTCTTTGGGGAGCTAGATTGCTACTGTTCTTTGGAACTTGCAGTGTTAGATGGGCAAAGCGTACACAATTATAACACAGATGCTTATTAATAGTCACAGTTGTAGAACTGAAGAAATCTCAGTGTTTTCTTATGAAAGCAAGACAGTTATTTTGATTTGTTCCACTTGCTTTTGTTTAAAAGGACAAGTGCCCTTGAAATTCATATTTTTAGGTTTTTTTGCTTGTGTCTATGGCAACTTTTGGCATGGCTTTCATGTAACTGAAAGAAATTGTTAGAATAATGACATAACAGAATTTTATAAAATGGTTTTAAAGTGCTCACTTGTTTTATGGAATATTTATGTGCTAATGTTTAAATTGTAAATGGATGATTTTGAGCTATTAAATTGAATTTTAATACTTAAAATGAAAATTGATTTCATTTCTAGCTTCTCGAAAAAGATCTAAAAAAGATAGAGATGAAGCTTGGGAGTATGAAGAACATGACAGAAGAAGTTCTGGTGACCACAGGAGAAGTGGTCATTATCATGAAGGAAGAAGGACTTCTGGTAGCGGCCGTTACCGTAATAGAAGTCCTGATGACTCTGATATGGATGATTATTCTCCTCCTCCTCCTAGCCTCAGTGAGGGTAACTGATCATCATAAATATTTCACTTTCATAATGCTAAAGGATTTTTAAAGGTTAAGCTGAACAGTTCAAAATAAACAGCTTTTCATGCAGTATTTAATGCAAGCATAAAAAATGTAAATAAGAATTTATTTCCATTTGAAAAGGCATTTTTCATTTATTCTCTTAATTAGTGGCTCGAAAAATGAAGAAAAAAGAAAAACAAAAGAGAAGAAAAGCTTATGAACCTAAACTAACACCTGAAGGTAATTTTAGAACTTATTTTTTTCACTTTGTATATCCTGTATTCTATATAAAATTATATATACTTTTTTTTTTTCTCCCCTACCAGAAATGTTGGATTCTTCAACTTTTAAAAGGTTTTCTGCTTCAATAGAGAATATTCTGGAAAATCTGGAAGACTTGGATTTTACAGCTTTTGGTAATATTTCAGAAATTTTCAAAATGTTTCCCCCAATTAAAAACACAGGAAACACACAAAATAGACTGCATCTCAGTATTTTCAGACTTCTTTCTGACTGAATTGCCTATGATACTTGCTAGGGTATGTTGTGTTTATATTGCATCTACCTTGATTAGTGTGAGCCTATACCTTTACAATTTCACTTTCTGCTAGAGAAAGATGACTTATCTTCCTCCTGTCTTCAGCATCTAAACAGGTCATAAATCAGAAATAATAGTCTACTGGAGTGTGTCTGCTGTGTGTGGTTTCTGACTATTAAATTCAAGCAGCAGAGTTTTTATGCTGTTATGACCAAGACACTCAATTTGTGTACTCTTTATTCCTTTCACCAGCAAATTAGCCAGACTAGCATTTGTCAAAGTAATTCAGATTGACCAAGATGACTTTCAATTGAAACACATAACAGCATTTGTATTTTTTTTTCTTACCATCTTTGTCATGATATTAGAACCAGGGGAGGAACATAGTAAACAAAGCAGTACTGGTTTTTAAAGCAATCGTGGCTATACTCTTGAATTTAAAAGTGAAACACTAATCATTGTTTTTTTCTGTCTAGTAATGTCATGGGGTTTTTAGTTGTTTTTTTCTAAGTGTGATTAGAATGTAGTTTATTCTAGGGTATATGTATTTTTCATTATTCTGCCCCAGATTTGAACTTGAAAATTGGAACTACAGTAACTTAAGATTTGTTTTACTGAAATGAGTGGTATTGCAGAAGCTACAACAAATGAGTTTTCTAAATTAAAAATTGTCATAGTTCAGCCTGGCTTGGCTTAGTTCTATGACAAAAGGGGAGAAAGGGACCCATGGACTCATGCCCAGGAAAAAAGGGGGGGAGAGAGGAAAAAGGTAGGGAGATGAGCCTAGATAAGCTCATTGCTGCTGTTTTCCAAAGGGGAAAAAAGCCTTAGTTTACTGAATATAATAGCAAAACATGAGATAATCAATATGATTGGAACTGAAGCTAATAAATCAAATAAAATGAGTTTCTGAAACCAAAGTCCTTACTCTAATGTTGTAGGCAAGACTACCAGGGAGCATAGAGAGCAAAGAAGCACTGTGACTCCTAGTCAGTTTTTATCTTTCCCTCCAAAAGGGAAACAGAAAAATGAAGTCATCTAGGAGATGTAGTTCCTTCTCTTCTGAGACCAAGAGACCAGAAATATCAACAATACATAGCACTGCAGCACTAACTCATCAACTTCTAGTATACTACATGATGTTATGATGTGGAATAATTAAAATCGTAAGACTGTGACAAAACTATTACCAGTTCATGACTTCAACAAATGGAGACCCGATGTTAGACTGTTTGATATTTCAGAGCATGTGATCAGCCTTTTTGAACAACTACAATTGTTTTTAACAACCAGAAGTCATTATCAGTCTTTATTATGTGCTCAGAAAAATCAGTTTTTTGACCAGTTTAGTTGCAATTACTTTTTCACGTTGGCTATAAACACTTGTTTCTTTGAATTCTTATTAGAAATATGATTGTGGATTTTTATTGTTTAAGGTGATGATGATGAGATTCCACAAGAATTGTTACTGGGAAAACATCAGCTAAGTGAGTTGGGTAGTGAATCTGCAAAAATCAAGGCAATGGGCATTATGGACAAGGTACATCTTCATAATCTTTTTGAACACTTAATTTCATTAGACATACAGAAAATGTTTCCTGTAATATTCCACCCTCTTCAGTTGTGCATGTGATGTACTGTGAACAGCTATCCTTCTGTTGAAGTTAATTCAAGTGCTTTAAGAGTTACTGCAACTTAACTGTTACTGTTTCTGATGCTGAGATACTTTTGAATAGCTTTTCTGTGGCAGTAGTGACTGAGCAGTATGTACCAATATGTAACACACATGCTTGAGCAGTGAAATCTAAAATAATCTACTTTCAGAAAAACACATCAATCTATAGTCTTAGCTCCTTGCAGCTAGTGTTGAGCAACCATAGTAAAACAGAACTTACCAAAATAAAAAATCCACTCTAAATTGTTAGTACATTGTAAGTATATTAAGTCTGTTCAGTATTGTACTGAACTGTTTATTTCATTCCTTCCTCCCAAAAACCCTTTCAGACTTTAAAGAAAAAAAAAGTGCTTCAGGTGAAAAACCTCATTTCTTGTAGACTGCATATCATGGTTTCTTTGCCATAGCCTACTTGATTTCAGTTAAAGAATATTTTCTGCACTAGCGCAAACTACTGGTATCGTATCTCTAGAAACAATGTTCATCCTTTTCTTATTGTAAGGATAAAAGACAGTTGATACAGTTGTCTCTAACCACTTTCAGATCACCAAAGAAAGGCAGAGATCATAATTCAGTAATAAAGAAGAAATAGCTTACCCCTTTCTGTGGATCCAGGCTCTCTAGAAACTTCTAGAGGAGATTATTTTCAAGTATAGATCCTCTTCTTGTGGCTGCCAGCCCTTAAATGAGATTAGCCCCCACCCCTTCTAGTTGCACAGGTAAATTGCTTGCACCTGTGCTTCTATGATTGGTCATGCTCTTTCACCAGATGTTTAATCACTGGTTCAGGCTGTGACCTGATGGTTCTTATAGTCTTATTTTCCTAGAACTCTTTGCTTTAGGTATTCTTCTATTACGCTGCCTGCTCCTAACCACTCTATTATGTTTATCTGTGAAATGGCCTCTTCTTCAGTCCTTCCTACCTTCATTTGTAGGATGCTTTCAACCTGAGTGTTTTGCTTTCCTAATAGTTCTTAAACATTACTTCCTAATTTTTATACATATGTACATACATGTATATGTGATGTCAGAAATGTGTTGCTTCTAAAGGTGAACACCATTGTTATCTGGATGAGTGAAGTTGATTCTTCCACAGTTCAACATATTCTACAGATTATTTAATTATAATTCTGTAAAACATCATTAAGCAAGTTTGAGTTACTTTTCAACATGCTAGTTTTTCAAAGTTAATAAAATTAAGAATACACTTCCTTTGTATTATCACTGAAATACCAATAAATTTCTGCTCATCTATAAGGTTTAGATTTTCTTTTAATAAAGCTCTATATTGTCATCTAGAATTAGTGATTCATACTTGTATTTGGTAAATCTCAGTTTCTAGAATCAAGACTCTATAAAACATTATTTGTAGACATGCAGTTATAAACCTACTAGCATGGATTTTACTGGTTGAAAATGAAGTTTGATTGCTATCTTAGAACATAGTTCACTAGTTTAATTATATTATCAGCGTTTTCAATCGTGCTGTGCCAGAAACTGAGTCAATATCTGATCCTTGTCTCAAAAGTGCTTACAGATTAAGTTTAATGCTAGAATTACATAACATAGTTAGTCTATCCTTCATCCATGGATATTTTTCAGCAGTTTGAACAACTAAGTTCCTATAGTTGTCTGATGTGTTGTTCTTGTTTTAGCTCTCAACAGATAAAACAGTAAAGGTCCTGAATATTTTGGAGAAGAATATTCAAGATGGATCAAAGCTTTCTACATTACTTAACCATGTGAGTTTCAAATTACATCATTTTATGCCATTGTTCAGCATAAGGCTTTCTTCACCTGAGTCACATCTAGTAACTATAAATACTGTGTGTGCAGAAGGAATTTGATTTCATATATGTATGATTAACAGATGGTCAAATTTGGATTCAAAGTAAAATTATATTCTTTCAGTACATGTTTTACTATACTACTGCTAACAAAATGGGAGTAATTGAGTTGTCTCGACTTTATTTTAAACATAATAGTTTCATCCTGAAATAGTCATGGTAACTGATATTACTTGCACCAGTGGAAATATCTTTGCTGCTTGTCCATAAAACTTCCCTTACACAGTGGAAGAAAGTATCTTTCATATAGAGAGCGTATTCCTCCCCTGAGCACTGATGAGACATTTCTAAATCATAGAAGGTCTCACGTTTGAAGGGACCCACAAGAATCATCAAGTCCAACTTCTGACTCCACACAGGACTACCTAAAAATTAAGCTTTGCTATACAGTTATTAATGTCTTAAGCAATATGAAAATATGTGAAATGAAGATGCTGGTTTTCCTGCTCTGTTGCAATGATTGAAACTTCCTGCCAGTGTTTTAAAGTGATATTTTTCTTCTAGGTTTCTGTAGTAAAACTCAAGATTACCTGATGAAATTGTTCCATGATTGCATTTCAGAGATAAAGCTTCAGTTAAAAAAGAAGCAATCTTTAGCTAAAGGAGTCTTAGATTTTTCTTAAAACATATTGAGTGTAATTCAGATCATTATGGCGAGGAAACCTTCTAGTAAGGCAGGTGTGTCCAACCCACAGCCTGTGAGCTGCATGTAGCCCTTTACAGCTATTATGGGACACCTCAAGATTATAAACTCTTAACTCTGTTATTTTTAGTGATATTTTTCATGAGTTGATTTCACATAGCTCAAGCATGAACTGTGTAGGTGACAACAGAATGCTGTGGAGGAGAGGGCGTAGTGCAGTGCTAACTCTGTCTCTTGTGCCTGCCACACACACTCAGTTTAATCAAAACCCATGAGTATTTCATGTTACATGCACTTGTGCCACTTGGCACAACAGTGATTACCATGTGCACGCCTGTGAAGACTCATGTTTTTGTTATTAAGCAGACAAGTTTTCTTATTTAACTATTACACTTGAACTTGTATTATTTTGTAAAATAATTAAGTTAAATTTCTGTGGAAGAAATATCAGGAATGCTTGTGCAGTGCTGACATTCGGTAGTTTTCAACATTTCAAAAAGCTCACAAAAAGTATAAAATTTACAATATGTTTTTAATAAGCTTGGGTGATATGTATTTGCTTAGTGTTTCTGCTATTCTGACCACTTGGGAGCAATATACAAGTAATAATTGCCTAAACAAGCACATGTCAGTTTGCTAATCCAACCATGCTAAAGGTGAGTTTACAGATGCACGTTACAACTACATTTATTCACTTTTTCTAAGAATTTGAGCATTTGCTGAATTGTGTATTTAGTGGCCACTTCGTGTTTTATGATAAAAACTAAAACAGATAATAGTAAAGTACAAGGAAAAAAGGTATATATTTCAATATATTAGAATGAATGTGTATTTCAAAATTATTTCTAATTCCAAAACATTCTTGTTTAAGCCTGGCTTTATAGTTGTGATAGGGGTAGTAAATATAAAATATATGTTTTATATGTGGCCAAAGGCAATTCCTCTTCACTTGATGCAGCCTAGGCAAGCCGTAAGGCTGGACACCCAGGTACTAAGCAGTAATCTTATGGTATTTTACAGTGCAGTGAAGATGATCCTACCTCCATGTCAGGATATTATTAAAAGACAAAATGCACTTGCAGATAATTTTTATTCACAAAATTCATGAGCAAAAAATTAGGATTTAAAACTACTTGTTTGTGGGGTTTTTTAAGCCTCCTTTGTGCAAGGAACATATGACTTAGTTATTCCATGCAAAAGATTTACAGGGATTTTCAGATGTCTATTGATTATTATTTTTATTATTATTTTAATTTTTAAATGTATTTACCATTGTCAACAGTTCCAGCCCAGTTCTGTGACTAAATGGGACAAGAGCCTGTGAACCTATGCCCTCAGATAGGGTAGGGAGATGGGCCTAAAAACAAAACTGCAGTGATGAGCTAAGGGAGAAAACTAATTTACTAAATATGATGGTGGAATGTAAGATAACACAATATAATTGGAATTGAAGCTAGTAAATCAAATGAAATGAGTGCATCTAAAACTGAATGCCTTACTCTAATGCTGAAGGTGAGACAGCTAGGGAGCACACACCACAGAGATGAGCAGTAAAAAAAAAAAAAAAAAAAAAAAAGGCAATCTTGTGACTCATGAGCAGTTCTATCTTTTCTTTTGAATGGAGACAGAACAGTGAAGTTGTCTTCTGGGAGATGTTCTCTTCTGTGAAAGGTACTCTGGAAATATTGACAATCCACAGAACTGGAGCATTAACTCTAACTCCCAGTGCACTATGTGATGCGATGAGTTGGAATACTGATAACAAAAATCATAAAACCATAATGAATGTATATGTAATGTGCTGCAATGCTTTTAGATTGTCTCACCCTAAAGGAAAAAAGTTGGTAAAGTTAGACATCAGTGTTTCACCATCTCCTTATTTTTACAAGGAAAACCAACAGTGTTAAACTGTGCTATCATACAGGCAGGAAAGATTCTTTTTCTTTGTAGCCATTGAGTATGGCTATATCTTGTACTGGAAACATTATTGGAAATTCTCCCTGGTTTTGCTATTGGTAATGTTAAAAACAATACTTCAGTAATGCTGGGTGTTCATAATTACTCCAGTTTGTTTTTGACTTCTTCAAACATAGAATAGCATGCGGTACAGAATTTCTAAAACTAAATGGGTGTATTTTATAAGACAGTTTTAATCCGTTGATAGTAGATGAGATGGCTGTGGAGAAGGTCTTATTCTCATGAATTTCATGTGACTTGTAACAGTCTTATTGTGTGAGAATTCCCTCTAGTGGTGAAAGTTAGACTAGTCAAAGCAGCAAATTGTGTGCATAGACAACTAAGGAAAACACTAGATGTACCTTAAGAAAAACTGAACTCATTCATCAGTCTTAAGTAGAGAATCGTAGAATCATAAAATAACCAAGGTTGGAAAAGACCTACAAGATCATCCAGTCCAACCATCCACCTATCACTAATAGTTCTGACTTAACCATATCCCTCAGTACAACATCCAAACATTCCTTGAACACCTCCAGGGTCGGTGACTCCACCACCTCCCTGGGCAGCCTATTCCAGCACCTGACCACTCTTTCAGAGAAGTATTTTCTAACATCCAACCTGAATCTCCCGTGGTGCAACTTGAGGCCGTTCCCTCTAGTCCTATCGGAAGTTACATGAGAGAAGAGGCTGACCCCCAGCTCACTACAGCCTCCCTTCAGGTAGTTACAGAGAGCAATAAGGTCTCCCCTGGCCTCCTCTTCTCCAGACTGAACAATCCCAGCTCCTTCAGCTGTTCCTCGTAAGGCCTGTGCTCCAGACCCCTCACCAGCTCTGTTGCCCTTCTATGGACACACTCTAGGGCCTCCTGCTCCTGCTGGCTGCACTATTGCTGATAGAAGCCAGGATGCCATTGGCCTTCTTGGACACCTGGGCTCACTGCTGACTCACGTTCAGCTGAGCATCAATCAATACCCCTGGTCCATTTCCTCTACACAGTCTTCCAGCCACTCTGCCCCAAGCCCGTAGCTTTGCCTGGGATTGGTGTAGCCAAAGTGCAGGACCCGGCACTTGGTCTTGTTGAACCTGAATGTAGCAGTTTGCCTTCATAGTGCTTCCCAATGATATATATAGAAAGCTGCTTTATGTTTTACCAGAACAATACAGTGAGAAATAAAAGACTTGCAGCTTAGGGAGACATACTGCAAACATGTTGCTAGTAAAATAAACATTAGTAAATCAATAAAACTATTTTTGTATCATAAAGGAATGTGCTTGTATGCAAGTATACTAAAATGTCATCATTGTACTGTACTTGGTTAGGATAAGAATTTGACTTTTTGTTTACACTGTCCTGTTTTTCTTGCCTGTTACAGAACAATGACACTGAAGATGAAGAGAGATTATGGAGAGATCTTATTATGGAGAGAGTGACAAAATCTGCTGATGCTTGTCTTACTGCTATCAATATTATGACATCACCAAACATGCCTAAAGCTGTATATATTGAGGATGTAATTGAAAGAGTTATTCAATACACAAAATTTCATTTGCAGAACACTCTCTATCCTCAGTATGACCCTGTATATAGAGTGGATCCTCATGGTGGTTAGTATTATAGGAGATTTAAAAATTTTTGTTATATTGTTTCCCCTTTTAAAATTATTATTTTAATATATCTTATGATATGAAGTGATATGACTTCCCTGAAGATTTTTATATGCAACTTTAATACTGATAGTTGTTTCGTATCAAATAAAGTATCTGAATTAATGCTTTTTGTTATATTGAGAATGAAATGTAGAGTACGATAACAACGAATTAAATGTGTCCTCTGAATAACTTCATATACCTAAACAGTAATATGACTGAAATAACTGTAGTGTCAATATAATCATTTAGACCAAAGTATTTAGAAGTTTGTCTGAATTGTCTGAAATTTGTCTTCTGTGTACAGCTATTACATGTATAAATAAGCCATTTGATACTCATAATCTGTTTCTATAATGATTTATAGTGGTGAAAATTATCTTGCATTTAGTGTTTTGTGATCATATACATACATCAGGGATCTGATAAATTTGTATAAATATCTAAAGGGAGGTGGGATGCAAATGGATGAGGCCAGGCTCTTCTTGGTGCTGTGCAGCGATAAGACAAGGAGTAATGGCCTAAAACTTGAACATAGGAAGTTCCATTCTAACATGCAGAACAACTTCTATACGGTAAGGTTGACAGAGCAGTGGAACAGGTTGCCCAGGGAGGTTGTGGAGTCTCCTTCTATGGAGATATTCAAGACCCTTCTGGATGCCTACCTGTGCGACCTATTGTAGGGTACCTGCTTTAGCAGGGGAGTTGGACTTGATGATCTCTTGAGGTCCCTTCCAACCCCCATGATTCTGGGATTTTGTGATATCTTCAGATGTGAGTGTCCAACTTCAAGAACTGTTTAAAAAATCTTGGATTCAGATTTCAGAAGAATTATGAAAAGTTAATGTTGTGGAATTCTTGCTTTTGAGCTGATACTACTAAATACTTTTTCCCTGTAAAAGCTGCATGTAGAATTGTTGGACATTTTTTGAGAAAACGATCTTTCTAGTATGTGATACAACTGAAACATTAGAAAAAAAATTAATAAATATTTTTTACTTTCTAGGTGGTGTTTTGAGTTCAAAAGCAAAACGTGCTAAGTGTTCCACCCACAAACAAAGAGTTATAGTGATGTTGTATAACAAAGTTTGTGACATTGTCAGCAGTTTGTCGGAGTTGCTAGAGATACAGCTTCTTACTGATACAACTATTCTTCAGGTAATTTTTATCAGAAGAATTCCTGTCTGAGAGCATTGTGGTTTTTCTTTTGTTTCTTTTCCCAAAGAGACTGTAAGGTGTGATTATGTCAATGACATAAAATATGAAATCGGTACTAACTTTTCAATAGCTAACATGAAACTGACTAGTCTGTAGTGTAGTATGTGTTTTTTCCTGTAGAAGAGAACAGGAAGATAACATTTCATGTTCAAATCTTTTTAGTGGCTTTTATTGTACACATAAGAAAAGTTTAACCTGATTGTATTCAATTTGCAAATGGTATGAAGTAACGTGTTGTTGAATAACTTATCTGTTTAATGAATAACCTGCTTGTAAAATTGAATGAATATCAGTTTCTGTCGAATATACTTACAATAGTTTTTTCCACTCATAGGTATCATCTATGGGAATAACACCTTTCTTTGTAGAAAATGTTAGTGAACTACAGTTATGTGCCATCAAATTGGTGACTGCAGTAAGTAATTTTTTAATTTGCAATTTCATGTTCCTGTGCATCTGAGTACTAGAACACTTATAGGCTGTATTTTTGATGGTAGACAATTAGAGCTTAGAACTTATTTCATTTAATGTTTTTACAGTTTGGTATCATAATCTAGGAACAGTATTAAATCTTCCTAAGTTGTTCCTACTTCCTATCAAGTTTTTTCTTCTATAGGAAGAATTAGCCTACTTAAGCAAGGAACTTCATGAATTATGGTTTACAGTGTAAACACAAACCCCTTTCTCTTACTTATCCTTTGTTGTGTAAGAAATCCTAGCAATATGACTTTCCTAATTTCCTTTGAGGTCTGAATGCATGTAATGGAATAAGCTATAGAACATCAGAGTACTCTTATAATAGAATAAGTTTTTCTCCTTAGAAGAAAAATTAATGGGGCAAATACAAGACTATTTCAGGAGAAACTTAGTGCAACATGTGTTTGTTCGAATGGAAGTTTTCTGTCCTTTTTAAGAAGGATATGCTCCAATACTTATAAAAGGAATTCTGCCTAAACAAAAAGATGAGCAAACTCTACAACCTTCACCTGATAAATTGAAAGAATATTGCATGTCTGGCAAATATTGAAGACTAAGATATGAATTAGAACATACACAATGTTATAATTAGTTTATCATGTATGTGTTCGTGTTAATTTACACTAGCATAGAGTTTTGCTATGTATACTGGAGTCTGAAAGCTTAATATTTCACTATTTGACTTTCTTATACAGTTTATTTCTACCACTGACAGAGAACTTTAAATTATAGGGTATTTTTAAGAGCTATTACACACTTGTGTTGTTAAAGATTTTTAAAGTATTTGAATTTCTTAATGTATTTCATAAAGCTTTGAAATAAAAACAAAGTAATGCATTAAAAACAAGGTATTTGTTTAGTGCCACATGAAGTGTGTGGTACTATATGTCATTTAAACAATAAATTTATCAATATTTTATGTAATGCATTTTTAACAATCCTATGACTGTTAAATAGGTCTTCTCCAGGTACGAAAAACATAGGCAGCTAATACTGGAAGAAATTTTCACTTCCCTTGCAAGGCTACCAACTAGCAAGAGGAGTTTAAGAAACTTCAGGTAATTTTGGACATAGATTGCTATCTTGTACAGAACTGTAAATGTTTCCATCTACATCTAGGATTTTATTAACATTTCTTAAGAAAAATTGCAACTTCAAAAACTGCAGTTTCTTAGATGTTGATAGTTCAAAACTTCTACAGTGAGAACAGAATTTCCTGACAAATTTATCTTATAATAGTCACTGTTTATTATGCCATTGTACTTGGTTACAAAAATAATTGAAATATTTAGTCTTGTTGGCCTTCTTGCTAGGGATGTAAATTAGTATAATGCTAGTGTGCATTCAAAGGGATTTTTGTTGCAAAACTTCTTTATTCTGTTTATATGGAGTTAGGTAATTCATTGTTAAAACTTAATTGGAGAATTCAGAATGGATTTCTTTGAAGACATACTCAGAGCATTCTTTCCCAGAAAGGAAACAGAACTAATACTACTTTGAATGCATTTTGTTTAGGAACCATTCAGTTCACTTTATGTTTTAAGTGCTTCAGCTGGACTTCAGAGCTTCTTCTAAGTAATGGGTTCAGGTTGAGTCTGAAAAATAATCTGACCTGAAGTGGATTTCAGTTAAAATTGAGATTCCATACATTAGGTGATTCTAAAACATTTATCGTTGTTGTTGTTGGCATTGATCTAGTTCCTTGCTTGTATACAGCTTTCCCCTGGAGATAGACAAATTGTCAATGAGATAGGTTAACCAATCCAGGGTGAATAAACGGGAAATACACAGTAAAACAAATGCACTGAAACTTTTAAGTAAAATTCAGTGACCCTAATGTTAACATGATTGCTTATGCTTAGTATTTCATGTTGTTTTGATTATAGTCAAAGACATCTAGCAAATAGGAATGTGGTAGGCAGAGGGCCATAATTGCTGAACAATCTCTTTGAATTAGGATCTTTGCCAGAAGGAAGTCATCTCAAGTTCATAGTGACTACGCTATTTATCTATAGAATTCTAGCTCTGTTATGTTAAAGGGCATTTCTATGGCTACAGTCACAAGGGGGACAGGTTAAAGAAAACTTGATACAAGAAGATTTTCTGTAGATTTTCAGCTGCTGAGATTCACAGATATTCTGATAATCATCTGTGGGCTGTTTCAGTTCATCTCTCCTACCAAGAATAATAGTGTTTTTGTTAGATCCAATCTTTCACTTCGTAAAAGAGGAGCAAATGATTAAATAAATGTCTAGAACAGATTTCTAGCTGTGGTAAAATTTTTTATAAATCTTAAAACTATTTAAGACCAAAAATAATTGTTTTATTTTAGTGTTATGCTATCCTTTTCATGTTAACAGGTTAAATAGTAGTGACACTGACGGAGAGCCTATGTATATTCAGATGGTAACGGCACTAGTTCTGCAGCTTATTCAGTGCGTTGTGCACTTACCATCAGCAGAAAAAGATTCTAATTCAGAGGAGGAATCGAATAAAAAAGTAAGGGAGATTTTTGTTAAATACCCATAATATTTTAATTTCTTTGTACAGGAATGACTGTGTGCTTGCGGGTATAATGTTTTATGATGGCGCTCTAGTAAGCAGATGACTTAACTTTGTCTGCCATAATTATTTGATGCATGAGAAATGCTGATCTGGAAATCATATTTCTGTGTATGCTAAAATATTAAGACTAATAAATCTTATCTTTAGGTGGATCAAGATGTGCTTATTACTAATTCATATGAAACAGCCATGAGAACAGCACAAAACTTCCTTTCCATTTTCCTTAAGAAGTAAGTACTTTACATTCTTTAGTGTATTGATGAAGCATAACTGAATAAAATATGCCATACCTTGAGACAAAACTAATTACTTCACAGTACTAAATACCTACTAGTAAAGTTACTTTTAACAATGTATTTTATTAGGTCCCTGAGAGAGAGAGAGAGTCAGAGATAGTATTTTCTTTTTTCTCTGAACAAAACTATGGCACAGAAGTTCTACAGAGAGTACTTAATACATTTAAGAATCTGTCTGATAGTTTATCTAGGATTATTTTATCAGGTGTTACTCGTCTGAAGCATGAAAGAGGAGGCTAAATAAATATTTGGGTTAAACCAGATTTACTCAGTCATAAGGATGACTAAAGAAAACCTGAAATCACTTTTATTTAGCTGAAGTTAGGAATGTCGGTAGCTGGGTAGGAGAAAAAAATCTACTTGAATAATCAAGCTAAGAATTTTTAGAAAAAGTCCTGTGGTTTTTATCGTGTTAATTTCTACTGTTAAGCTGAGAGACTCTTTAGAAATCTAGTTATCTGTGTGCTTCTGGTATCATTAAAGAAGGTGAAACACTATCAGGTATGTTCTTTTGAATTTTACATTCTGACATCTCAGTTATATTCTTAAAGATTAAAGTCTTATCACTCTGAAATAAGTCAGTCTAGGCTTAGAGTCTACGCTCAATATCTACTGAATACACCACTCCAGCTTTGAGGTTCAGAATTTTACCTACCTTGTCCATCCTCTTCATTCAGACTTCAACTCAAAGGAATAAATGAAAAAGTTTAGGGAAAAAAAAAATTAGCTGCCTTCCTTGCAGTAAAAAGTAGTGATAAATTTTTGAACGATTTGGCCTTAATGGCCTTAACTGGATAAAATTATTTTTCTCTTAATACTCCAGGTTTGAGTTTTGTTTTTGGTTGGTTGATATTTCTTTCTAATTTGTTTTGGTTTTCATATGCTTTTTTAATCACATAAAACTTGTTGGTTTTTTTCTGGTTAAGCATGCTATTTATTAACATCAGAAGAAAAGCTTTAAATGGCTCCAAAATTTGCTTCCATAATACATTTTCTTCTAAACAGGTGTGGTAGTAAACAAGGGGAAGAAGATTATAGGCCACTGTTTGAGAACTTCATTCAAGATCTTCTTTCCACAGTCAATAAACCAGAATGGCCAGCTGCAGAATTGCTGCTTAGCTTATTAGGAAGGCTATTGGTAAGGGATTCTTGTTTTTAACTATGAAGACTTCTTGATTTAATTTTCAGCTATTATAATAATGTTTTTTGATAGTTGATAAACACATGCATCACTTAAGGATTTTTGTTGTGTATATCCCTATTCTGTAATGTATAATTGATAAAATTTAGGTGAGAAGATTGTTGATTCACAACTTGAGAAAGGTCATGGGTATACTGTTTCTCATGGAAGTCTACTTCTATTGGAAATGGTTGGAGCACAGCCCTGCTGAAAAAGACCTGGGGGTACTGGTGGACAGCAAGTTGGGCATGAGCCAGCAATGTGCCCTCACAGTCCAGAATGCCAACTACATCCTGGACCGCATCAAAAGAAGTGTGGCCAACAGAGCAAGGGAGGGCTGCAAAAATGATCCAAGGGATGGAACATCTCTCCTATGAGGACAGACTGAGATTGCTGGGGCTGTGCAGCCTGGAGAAGAGAAGACTCCAGGGAGACCTGAGAGCAATCTTTCAGTATCTAAAGGGGGTCTACAGGAAAGAAGGGGACAGGCTCTTTAGCAGGGTCTGTTGTGATAGGACAAGGGAAATGGTTTCAAACTAAAAAAGAGAAGACTGAGATTGCATCTAAGGAAGAAATTTTTTACAGTAAGCATGGTGAGGCACTGGCACAGGTTGCCAGAGATGTGATGGCTGCCCCATCCCTGGAGGCACCCGAGGCCAGGCTGGATGGAGCTCTGAGCACCTGGTCTAGCTGTGGATGTCTCTGTTCATTGCAGGGAAGTGGGACTAGATGACATTTTGAGTCCCTTCCAACTCAAATGATTTTATATTTTCCACATGAAAAATAATGGTATTCTGTACCATCTTGTAAGTGCAGATATTTGCTTGGATTAAAGTAAATAGCTGTAATTACTCCCATTAAAGATCTTCTCTGGGCTATTCATTTAGCACAGAACATGAAAACCATTAAGTTGTTTATACCAATAATATTACATTTACTTACAAATAATGAAAAGTTACAGAACGTGAATATTTTTGCTAACATGTTATTAAGAGTTGTTTTTCAGCATTACAATGTAATTGCACTATAATTTGTTTCTTGGAAAAATATTTTATGGTCCTGTTCCTGGTGAAATGAGGAAGATGTATTATGGTGATTAAGATCTATGGTATTGCGAAGAATATCTGCTCTGCTATACAACTAGTTTATTTTATGAAAGTATATATTTAAAAGAAAACCTAAGCAGGCGGCATATTTGTAGAGAGATTCAATAAAGGAAAAACAATACAAAATAAAGGGTGCATCTGTGGTGTAATAGTAAATGGCATAATTTTCTTGAGTGTAGAAGTTAGGTGGAATTTTCATAAGGTCAAACAGTGTCTTGTGAGAAGAATGAAGAGAGACTGGGAAAGTTAGGGTTATTTAGCCTAGAGAAGTCTCTGGGAAAACCTTATAATGGCCTTCCAGTATTTAAAGGGGGCCTATAGGAAAAATAGGAAGAAATTCTTTATTAAGGAGTATAGTGACAGGACAAGAGGTAATAGTTTTTAAACTAAAAAAGGGTAGGTATAGATTACATACAAGAAAGAAATTGTTTACCGTGAAGGTGGTGAGACACTAGAACAGGTTTCCCAGAGAAGCTATGGATGCCCCATCCATGGAAGCATTCAAGGCCAGGTTGGGTGGGGCCCTGGGCTGCCTGATCTATTGGGTGACAACCCTGCCTATGGTAGGGAGGTTGGAAGTAGATGATCATTAAGGCTCCTTCCAACCCAAACTATTCTATGATTCTATGAATCTCAGCTGCGTAAATACATACACTTAAAATATATACGTTCTGCTTTTCTTAGGTTCATCAATTCAGTAACAAATCAACAGAAATGGCTTTAAGAGTTGCATCACTTGACTATCTTGGAACTGTAGCTGCAAGATTGAGGAAAGATGCAGTCACTAGCAAAATGGATCAAGGGTCTATAGCCAGAATCCTCAAACAGGTGAGATCCTATGCCAGCTGGATTGAGTTGGATAGAGATGTATTCATTCAAATATTTGAAAATCATAAAGAGGTGCTTAAAGACAAAATCTCCACTAAAAAAAAAAAAATAAAAAAAACCTGGCATGTGGGGAATCAATTTTCATTGTTCATACTTTTTTGAATCAAATACATTCAGTTTATAAACATAACTTTTCTGTTTGCCATTGTCTTTTTTGCAATACACCCCCAGTGATCATATTAAGAAGTTAATGACAGTGGTAAAAACTTTTTTACTGTGGCAGTAGGGAAGGAAATAATGGAGCAACAACATCAGTTGAATTCTGTTTTGAGAAATTAAAAACATATGTATATACATAGGCGGTTGCTCTGAAAGTACTGCCTCCTATTTATTTCCGTAAAAAGTGCAACAGTTACAAAGAGCACAACACTGTTCATTAGAACAAATTCTCAACTACAAAACAGTACTTTTCAATGTAGTCAACAGTATTAGCTATGAATTTCTGCCAACAATGAACAAGAGCCTGCATGCCATGCTTGCACAAATCTGCATGGCCATCCAGAACGTGACTTTATTCCATGCTGCTGCGGCCACTGCTGGAATATACCACCCACCCCTCACTGTGCTCACATCCACTGTTTGATCTCCATAGTCATTCAGCAAGCATCAATGAATGTCAGTGGTGCCATTTTTTTCTCCACATGGAGGAATTCAGTGACACACATTTGCTTCATACTCACTTCCACGTCAGGTGCCATTTTGTCAGACTGCTCCTCTGTTGCCATCTGTCACATGGTAACAAAATAGAACAGGATATTGGCAGAAAGGTTAAGCCTTTGCTGCCATAATGGTGATGTCATAAAATAGGAGACTTTACTTTTGGTGCAGCACTAGTAATTTTTGCCTCTATGTGCTAGTTGGTTATATGACAGTGATTTTAACAATTCTCCATCAGACTTTGTAGGGAAATATTTTACAAGTGAGATATCCTTTTTCTTATCTCCAGAAGTTCTAATGGTATTGAAAGAAATTCCATATGCAAATGGAGACCTGATTTTTTTTATAATTTTTTTTTAACAGCATCAGGCAGTAACTAGGCTTTGGCATCTGCAGAAAATGAAACTGCTTTGAGAAATTGAGCACTAAAAGTATTTTTTCAGTTGTTCAAGAAGCTTAGCATCAATGATGGTGATGGTACCATCCATACATTATGGAAGGTATAAATTATTCAGTACCATGAGACAGGGTATACAGTGTTGCTAATAAATTATTTGTAACTTAAGAACAAACAAATACAGCCTGTTATCAACAAAATTTAATGTTGGTCTAAGACTGGTCTTCAAACCATAATTTGCACATACATTGGGGTGCCAAATGTATATCAATGAATCTATATCAGTATTATGTGCACTGTAGACATACTTGTTTTGAACTCTTAATCATTTTGGGAAAAAAAAAATCGTTTTACTGCTGTAATATCAGCACCTACAAGGACCTGAATATTTCAGTGTAATGCAAAGGAGAAAAGTGTTCTATGTTTATGTCTATCGTGTAGATGTTGAGAAAGTTAGTTAGTTTCTGACTAATGAACAAGATAATTAATACTGATTTATTCTCTGTATCTCCTATGTGGGAGAAGTGCATTGTCTGTTGGTCATATGCAAGGTTGTTATTCCACTTATATAGGCTGGAACTGTTTAAGAGATTAAGATATGCATATTTTCTGTAAGAATAGTCTCTTGGAAAAATGCATTCTTAACGTTCATACAGTTTATTTATTTACAAATATGATACACTAGCATGTCTCCAGCACGCTTATCTTACAGTTTGGTATGTAAGATGCTTTTTTTGCATCTTAAATGTACTTGACAGGAAAATTAATATTATCCTATTCTGTAAAAAAAAACAAAACAAAAAAAAAACAAAAAAACACTGTGGGTAGGGGGCATTTCTTATAAATTGTGTTCATGAGCTTTTTGACTAACAGAAACTTAGTTTAATCTTAGCATGATTCTTTATTGTTAAAGCTCAGAGGGGTTTGGGAACAACCTCTGTAAGCTTTGCTTTTCATAGTTATACCAAATATTTTTACAAAGGGTTTTTTGTTGTTTTCCATACCTTTCTGCTATTGTCTATGTTTTCATATTTCTTTTCATTTTACTTTTTTTGCCTTCTATCCCTTCTTCACTTGAGGAGTCACTGTTTTCAGTATTTTATTATTAGTGACAATGATTTTTAAAGGTTAAACCTTGTGTCACTCCATATGATTTCAGCCCTTTTTTTCTCAGTGACGGAGAATCTTCACACAAGATCATAGATTGACTGATTTATTTTCATTCTGTTTTAAAAACCAGTCATGCTGCTTTTAATTTTTTTTCTTAAGACTTTGGAGTCCTAAAATCAAATTTTATTTAGCTTGTATGCGGTTTATGGGGAATTGCTTAAACTGTTCTGCAGTTATCAAAACTACCTTCACCATATTTCATAAGTGGACATACAGATTGTCAAATGATAATTACCACTGACTGAACAATATTGTATTTTATAACTATCTTTCTCCTGACAGGTTTCAGGAGGAGAAGATGAAATTCAGCAGCTACAAAAGGCTTTGCTGGATTATCTAGATGAGAATACAGAAACCGATGCATCATTAGTGGTAAATTTCAGCTTTCTGATATTGAGCATATATAAAAATAATTTCAGTAACATGTCTCCTGAAATAAATGACTTTCAGTCATGTATATTAGTGCTTCAGTTTAAATTGTCACTCTAACATATACTGTTGATCATATTTTCCAAAATACGGTTGATGCATTAGACTCAATCTCATTGTAAATATTAATTTCCCTCTTCTGTATCTTGTTTTTGGGTTTTGTGCATTCTACTGTATCTCTCCAGTTTTCTCGGAAGTTTTATATAGCTCAGTGGTTCCGTGATACAACTATGGAGACAGAGAAAGCAATTAAATCTCAGAAGGATGAAGATTCATCTGAAGGAACTCATCATGCAAAGGATGTTGAGACCACAGGACAAATCATGCATAGAGCAGAAAGTCGCAAGAAGTTTCTTCGTAGCATCATTACAACTGCTGCATCTCAGTTCAGTACATTAAAGTATGTTTGATATTTTCATTAACCATGTGTTTGATGTTTTTAATTATTTTTTTAATAAACATGTCCTAATTAACATATTGAATTTGTTGCAGAATGAATTCTGATACTGTGGACTATGAAGATGCTTGTTTGATTGTTCGCTACTTGGCCTCTATGAGGCCGTTTGCCCAGAGCTTCGATATTTATTTGACACAGGTAAACTGTGCCAGAAGTCTTAGTGGAGTAAAACACAGTTGGTTTTTGACTCCAAACACATTTGGGGTAGTGTACAATATCTGTTCGTTGTTGAGCACAAGTATTTAACAGGCCATGGTAACACCACATGCTTTAATATTCTGTAGTGATGCCGTAAGTGCTTATTTTTCTTGCATGCATTTCATATATCAGATTGTGCATATATTATTTTTGTCTGTATGTACATGGCAAAATCATTAGATGTAAACAGTAAAAGGATAATTCAAATGTTTAAATCTTTTTCACAGTTTCTGTAAGACGTGTGCTCATTTGATAGTGCTAACTCATGAAATGTGCCTTGATTTGAAAATATAAGCCAACTTGATCATTTGCTTGCACAAGTGCATGCTACTCTCACTTTGGTAGCAGTTGTTTGACCAGTGTGATTTATTTGCTTTTTCTAGGAAAAGAGGACATGGTGACATGTTTGAACTCCAATAATGGTTTAGGTTGCATTACTTATATTATCTGTATACAAAGCCAGTCATAGAGTTAGTGTCCAAATCCAACTTACCTGTAAAAAGAACCATAGTGAAAGCCACATCTGAATGGCAAAATTAGAGGTTAAAGTAAAGGGACTTAAAGTGAACATATGGACCCTGTATAAATCCTGTTTGAAATAGTCTTAGAGGTGGAGCAAATCCTAGCAAATTTCCATGCTCAAGTGATCAGTGCCGTAGAGCCTCTTCACTGTCTGGAGGCATTCAAGGCCAAGCTGGATGGGGCTTTGAGCAACATGGTCTAGTGGGAGGTATCCCTGCCTATAGCAGGGGGGTTGGAACTAGATGATCTTAAAGGTCCTTTCCAACCCAACCTGTTCTATGATTCTGGGTATTCTTATTTTAGTTAGATGGGTATTCTTATTTTAGTTAAATAGTTTGCATATTATTCTGCATTTTTGCTTATGTTAAACATTGTTCATTACCTTTCCAAAGCAATTGAGATTTTGTTTTTGTTCTCTTATTAGATTCTGCGTGTGCTTGGTGAAAATACAATTGCTGTTCGAACAAAAGCCATGAAGTGTTTGTCTGAGGTTGTTGCTGTAGACCCCAGTATTCTAGCCAGGGTAAAAAAAGGAAATATCCATCCTGTGTATTTTTATCACACTTAAAAGAGATCTTGATTTCTTATTTTGGATTTGTTTTATTTGTTCTTTTTAGCTGGATATGCAACGAGGTGTTCATGGACGATTAATGGATTACTCCACTAGTGTACGAGAAGCAGCTGTAGAGCTGCTTGGCCGATTTGTGCTCTGTCGTCCTCAGCTTGCTGAGCAGTATTATGACATGCTGATTGAAAGAATATTGGTATGGTGACCTGTGATAAAGTAAATGGCATTGGGAAACTTGTTTTCAGGAGTTTATATAATTAATAATATGGAATTATCACCCCAAAAGTGAATTGTACTTCATTGTTTTTAGTGAGGAGCATCATCTTTCTAAGACCAACCCTGTAAAACACATCACTTGTTTCCAATGAGACTTCTTTATGTCAGAAAGTAAACATACCAAGAAATGTACCTTGGCAGAACCAGGATTATGTTCCTTTTTTATTCTACTGTTAAGGCACAAATTAAGTGAAATGGGTTATTCCACATGTTTGAAGTTTGAGATGTAGATCTCTGGAGGTAATTGGGGACAATGAAGAAACATCTACAGCACAGTAATTTAAATTTGCCATTTTGGTAATCCAAAAGATAAGGGGAAGACTTTTTTTTTTTGGTGCTATGTTCTAGCATTTTAAAAGACTTCCTGTTAGATTTTTTTCACTAAATAGTTTTTTGTCTGGATGTTCAGATAAAATACAATGTTAATTTAACTAGAAGACAACGCTTGCTTTTAGGAGTCATGTTATATAGGTTTTTAGTCAAATGCTACTCATTTGCTATAGTTACATGATAAAATGTTTCTGAAGGGCATTTAGAGATGGGTAGTTTCATATGCTTATAAAGCATACATATAAAATAATTCATCCAGACATTCACATTAAACATGTTTTGAATAAGATTATATGAAGTGAAGCTCCTCATCCATCTCCTTAGATGAAGGCTAGGAAAATGGAGACAAATTGTTGCACAGGGCTTATGCGTAGTCTTTATTCCAAGGCTTGAAGTATTGCTGTCCAGATCTGTAAGGGCTCTCATGTGTTCCAACGAAGAAGCTAAAACATTATTGCATCTAGCTTGTAAGCTCTTGAAGTGGAATTATATGTTTGCAACATCATGAGCTCTTAAATCAGAGGGTGTAAGTGGAGGAAGCATTTCAGCATTTGGGGCGCTCAGCCAGGCTTTTAGAAACGTCGCAAATAAAGCGGCAAGAGTTACATTGACCTTTCATATAAATGCACTCCAGAATACTTTAGCTGCTTCTTTTAAATATATTTAGTATGTTGGATTGGTTGATCTTCAAATATTAGTTCATATAATGCACATTAATTCATGTGTTGGATTTGTTTTCAAGAGCTGTGATGGTTTTTCTCCTCACAGGATACTGGTATCAGTGTCAGAAAAAGAGTGATAAAGATACTTAGGGATATCTGCATTGAACAACCAACATTTCCCAAAATTACAGAGATGTGTGTGAAAATGATTCGGAGAGTCAATGACGAAGAAGGCATTAAGGTATAATAAAAAAAAACTTCCTTCAGGATTTTAATTACCAGTGTTTTAGTGTTTTTTTATATTTTCACACATAAAAAAAAAAAAAAAAAAGCCCACATTGCTGCTTTGTAAGGTTTATGAATTTTATTTACTTTTAATTTTTCAGGTATTTAGTATCTTGAATTTAAATGCTCACTTGTTTTTGTTTCTCTTGTTTTCTTCAAGTTTTTGCTGTCAATCAAAAGGTTTTTCTTTTTGAGAAGTATATTTTAGAGTTTTTTCTGCTTGCAAGCATTGTCTGATACTTCTCTAACAAATAAAGCTGGAATATAAAAATCCTTTCTGCAAACAAAATAAGCTTTAGGTCAAAATGAAGTGTTTGACATTACTATATAACAGATATGTAAGTTCTACATATAAAACATGAAGTATTTGATGAAGTATTTGTGTGCTTTTGTATTTCTGAATACTTAATGAATCATTTTATCACTTACTGGTGTGATCAAATTCTGTTCTTCATGCAATCTGTATGCAGAAGGGTGCAAGACTAAGATTATATGATAAATCATAAACCTGACACTGTTTTTGTTTGATTCAACAAAAATAATTTTAAAAATATCTGGGTAACTAAGAATATACCTGTAATGATTTTGTCACGCTTTCAGTGGGATTTGAAATCTGCACCTTTAAAGCTGCAGCATATATTTTTACCACTTGAGATGCGTTAATGCCGAGTGGCTTTCAGTGAAGACTGTTAATCAAGACACAGTATCTGAGGTGCTGGAAGCTGGATGTAATGTGCTGCTATGAAAGGAGGATGACCTTGTTTTCAATCCCCTTCTTTCCCTTGCCTTTCCAACAATCTCAGTCTCTACAATGCATTTTCTATATTTCCATGGTTGAAGAGAGATTCTTACAACTGTATGCTTTATAAGCAGTACGGGAATAGTGTAGTACACTTTGATTCTATTCCACCTTTTTCACTATCCAAAAACATTGGAAGGGAGCCTAATTCCTAAGTTTAGCTGTAAAGACTTGGGTTCTCCCATACCTTGTCACAGCTTCTGAAAGCTCCCAAGTAATGTACCACTGCTGCTAATTCTGCTATACAAGTCACAATCTTGTGTTCAGTTGTAATTTCCTCAGGGTACTATGTTTTCCTCATGAATGTAAACTAGTGCAGGAAAATTGTAATACCATTTTCTGTAGCATCAGTTCCCAGCGATCATTTGGTACTTGTTTAGAAACCAGTATAACTCTTGTAATAGTAGATCTGTGTCTGTCTCAGATAATATTCTCTGCAACCGTCTTAGTTTGAATAATTCCTCATGAATTATTCAAAAGTTTTTTTCTGCAGGTTTTTTGTTTGTAGACTACATCTACAACATATATTGTATGGATATATTAGAGATGATAGCTTTGTGCCAAGATAAGCTTGCTTATTTGTGCTAATGATGTTGTTTGTTTTTTCTATTCAGAAATTAGTAAATGAGACTTTCCAGAAGCTCTGGTTCACTCCAACTCCCCATCATGACAAAGAAGCAATGACCAGGAAAATACTAAACATCACTGACGTGGTACATTATACAGATTTCAATTAGTTTGGATGTGAAACGTGATTATATTTTTAGTATCTTTAAAATATTGTCTGTAGTCTTCTAGAAAGCAAAAAATATTCGAGTATCTTACTTAGCAGGTGGTTTTCTTCATATCTCCTGGCATTGAATATATGCTAGACTTATACTAGATTTATTCATTTGATAGAACAAGCTTTGGAAAACTTTAAATGATCAATAATATGCTGACAATGATAACTGGGATCACATTATTTTCAAGTAAATGCTATTAGCAGCATTACTTAAGTCTAGCTAAGAAATAATCTCTTCTAAGAAACATTTCTTCAAACAATTGTTAATATTTTGATGGATTAATAAGCTTTTTTAACAAGTACAGGGTCACCTAGAGTAAACTAATATCTGCATAATCTACTTTATAAGAGCAGTGAATTAAACAGCATGTCTCAAAAATCTGTTTCAAATAAAATCTTTATACATTTGTAGTGAAAGTATTCTGTGTAAAATCACTGTGCTTACCTAAGTGTACTGAAGATGTAAAGATCAAACAAGTACTTGCTTTACTACTTAAAATTGTTTAATCTCTATCCTGCTTTTCAATATTTTTACTAAACAATAGTGTAGTATGCATTTTTCCAGACTGAAAAGTCAGTCAATTTGGCTTCAGCTTAACTTAGTTCTCCTGCTAATTCTACTCTAGAGCACCTGTGAGCTGATCTTGATATATGATGAGAGTTAAGGATTGATTTGTTTATGTAATCTGTACAACATGTTTTGGTTTTTTAGTACAACAAATTTTGCAGTGGTCAGTATAATATGTAGGACTTCTGTTGTATGGAATATCAATTCTGGAACTGTTTAAATGAGGAGAATGTTTTTTTTCAAATGCAGGGAATAGTTTCTATTTTCCAAAAGTATAAAATCACTGTACTGAATGCATATAAAAATATGCATGTTTTCTATTCTTTAAAGATGAAATATGCATTGAAGTAATATTCAAATTCCTTTGTTAACCAGTTCATTCTCAATACTGCTTTTAGGTTGCAGCTTGTAGAGATACAGGGTATGATTGGTTTGAACAGCTTCTTCAAAATGTAAGTAACAAATCTTTAATGTGTGACACAATTGTTATAAGAATATTAACAATTCTTTTCATGCTAAAACACATTGAAGGAGGACTGCTGTGTGGAAGACTTCCTGACACAGCTGGTAAGAGAGCCTACCGGAGGAGGTGCCCCCACTAGATATGCTATTCACAAACAGAGAACTAGTGGTAGATATGGAGGTCGGGAGGTGTCTTTAGAAGGATGACCACAAAATGGTAGAGTTCTCAATTTTTGTTGAAATCAGAAAGGGGACCAGCAGAACTTCTACCTTGGACTTTTGAGGGATGGACTTTGAACTGTTCAGGACTATGGTAGGGAGGGTCCCTTGGGATTCAGTCTTGAAGGGTAAAGGGGTCCAGGAAGGCTGGTTGCTCGTCAAGAAGGAAACCTTTAAGGTGCAGGAGCAGGCTATCCCCCTGTGCTTCAATATGAGCTGGCAGGGAAGACGACTAGCATGGATGAACAGGGATCTTTTCCTGAGGCTCCAGGAGAAAATGAGAATCTACCTCCTGTGGAAGAAGGGATGGGCAACTCAGGGAGAGTACAAAGAAGTTGTTAGGATATGCAGGGAGAAAATTAGAAAGACAAAAGCCCAGCTTGAACTCAACTTGACCGTTGGGGTAAAAGAGAACAAAAAACTTTTTTACAAATATATTAACAGTAAGAGGAGGGCTAAGGAGAATCTCCATCCTTTACTGGATGCGGCGGGGAACGTGACCACTGAGGATAAGGAAAAGGCTGTGCTTCTCAATGCCTTCTTTACATCTGTCTCTAAAAGTCAGACCAGTTATCCTCTACCTCATGAACTGGAAGTCTGTCCTGTGTATCTTTATTGATGACCTGGATGAAGGGATTGAGTGCACCCTCAGTAACTTTGCACGTGACACCAAGTTGGCAGGAAGTGTTGATCTGCCTGGAGGTAGGGAGGCCCTACAGAGGGATCTGGATATCCAGGCTGAGGCCAGTAGGATGAAGTTAAACAAGACCAAGTGCCAGGTCCTGCACTTTGGCCACAACAGCCCCAGGCAACCGCTACAGGTTTGGGGCAGAGTGGCTGGAAGACTGTGTAGAGAAAATGGACCTGGGGGTATTAGTCGATGCTCAGCTGAACATGAGCAAGCAGTGTGCCCAGGTGGCCAAGAAGGCCAATGGCATTCTGGCTTCTATCAGCAATAGTGCAGCCAGCAGGAGCAGGAGGAGATCATCCCTCTGTACTCAGCATTGGCGAGACCATGCCTAAGTGCTATGTTCAGTTTTGGGCCCCTCACTACAGGAAAGACATTGAGGCCCTGGAGTGTGTCCAGAGAAGGGCAACAGAGCTGGTGAGGGGTCTGGAGCACAGGCCTTACGAGGAATGGCTGAAGGAGCTGGGATTGTTCAGTCTGGAGAAGAGGAGGCCAGGGGAGACCTTATTGCTCTCTGTAACTACCTGAAGGGAGGCTGTAGTGAGCTGGGGGTCAGCCTCTTCTCTCATGTAACTAGTGATAGGACTAGAGGGAACGGCCTCAAGTTGCACCAGGGGAGATTCAGGTTGGATGTTAGGAAATACTACTTCTCTGAAAGAGTGGTCATATGCTCGAACTGGCTTTTTTTTAATCATTCTGAAAAGAATGTTACTTTTAGTTACTTTTGAAAAATATGACTAGATTATTGTTTTTTCATAATTTCATGAAGCACAATGTTAAGCTTCATCTCAGTGCAAAAATCAGTAGAACTGCTCTCTTCTGTCCTTCTGTTGCAGTTAATTTTTCTTTGGTTTGATTATTATTTTTATTTTTTCCTTTAAATTTTATTCACTATGTAGCTTTTATGGAAAAGACAAATGAAGGATTTTTCATTACAAAAGAATTATGTACCTGTAATAATTATAAAACCAGTATGTATCTAATTTAAGTGAATGTACACTTACTACTGTATCATTTTTTTTTTGTTTCATCTGCTGTAGCTGTTGAAGTCAGAAGAGGATGCTTCATATAAACCTGTGAAGAAAGCCTGTACTCAACTTGTTGACAACTTGGTTGAGCATATCCTTAAATATGAAGAATCTTTATCAGGTAATACTACTTAGAATCCAGTAGCTAAACTACTTTGATTTTTCTAAGTAGGTTGCTCCGAAAGTACCGTCTCCTATTTATTTCCATGGAAACTACAACAGAGCACAATAACACTATTTGATAGAGCAAATTCTCAGCTACAAAGCACCAATTTTCAACATAATTATTCCCATTAGCTAATTCGTGCAGATGAGCTAATTGAGACGCTCTTCATGGTGTGCCAGCTGTGCATGTCACATCATTGTCACCACTGCTGAAATGCACCACCCACCCCTCACTGTGTACTCACATCCACTGTTTGGTCTCCATAATCATTCAGCATGCATTGATGATATCAGTGGGTGCCCTTTTTTTCCACATGGAGGAATTCAGTGACACACCTTTGCTGCGTGCACACTTCTGTGTCAAATGTCATTCTGTCAGACTGCCCCTCTTCTGCCATGTGTCATACAGCAACTAAATGTAACAGGACATTGTTGGGAAGGTTCAACCTCTACTGCCATCCCATCAACATCCACTTCTGATGTCATGGACCAACAGAACAACATTTGAGGTGTTACTTTCAGAGCAGCCCTCATATAACACTGTAATTGTGGTTATTAAAATTACTATCACAAAATGTTATTGTTACAGAACTTGTATTTCAAAACTAGAGGTAGTGAATTATTGCATTTAAGTTTATAATGAACTTTTGAGCACTGAATAATAATAAAGCTTCCCTAATTTTTCTCTAGCTAACCTCAATAACAGAACTACTTTTGAAATAATTTGTTAAAACTTTTAGATAACTAAAAACAAAAAAATATTAAAAGCTTTCTGTTCTACAGTTATAATAGGAAATATTGGCTGAGCTAGTGTTTTGTATAGAGTAAATATTTTTTCTTAAAATAGTAATGTCTTCGAAGTAGCTCTGCTTCTTATTTCACATATTTTCTGATTTTATGCAAATGTTAACATGTTCTCATCTCTAATGCTCTTACCTAATAAGAATGCATAAGAATATTCTGTATTGGTCTTGAAAGATATGTCATGGAAGAGATAGTCGTATGATGTTTAGGCCATATGTTTTTAATTGATCAAACAATACTTGAATCTAATATATTTTGTGTATTTTCTAATTTTTGCAGATTCTGACAACAAAGACATGAATTCTGGTCGCTTGGTTGCTTGCATAACTACTTTATTCTTATTCAGCAAAATCAGGCCCCAGCTAATGGTCAAACATGCTATGACCATGCAGCCATACTTGACTACTAAATGTAGCGTAAGTAGAGAAAATCAGAATAACAGCCTTGTTTTTCCCCAGGTAATTAAGCATAGGAATGAATGGCTGTCTTGCATGCTTGAAATTGAAGGTAGGAAAAGAGAAATAAAGTTCATAGAATGGCTTGGGTTGGAAGTGACCTCAAAGATCATCTTAGCTCCAATGCTCTGCTATGGGGAGAGTTACCCCACCCACTAGATCAGGTTGCCCCATCCAGCCTGGCCTTGAACACCTTCAGGGATGTGACATCCACAGCTTTTCCAGGCAGCCTGTTCTAGTTTTTTACCACCCTCAGAGTAAAGAATTTCCTCCTAAGGTCTAATCTAAATCTCCCCTCTTTTAGTTTAAAACCATTCCCCCTTGTCCTTATCACTGTATACTCATGTAAAAAGTTGATTTCTCTCCTGTTTATAAGTTCCCCTTAACTATTAGAAGGCTGCAATGAGGTCCCCCTGAAGCCTTCTCTTCTCCAAGCTAAACACCCCCAGCTCGCTCAATGTTTGTAGGAGAGGTGCTCCAGCCCTTTGAGTATCTTTGATGCTTCCTCTGGTCCCGCTCCAACAGCTCTGCATCCTTCTTATATGGGGGGCCCTAGGCCTGGATGTCGTTCTCCAGTTGGAGCCTTAAAAAGGCATAGCAGAGGAGGGGGACAATCCCCTCACTCTCCTTGATGTCCCCCCCATTGATGCAGCCTAGGATACCATTGGCCTTCTGGGCTGCAAGCACACACTACTGCCTCATGTCCAGCTTTTTGTCCACCAGAATCCCCAAATCCTTCTCCTTACAGCTGTTCTCAAGGAGTTTTTCCCTCAGCCTGTGCGTATATCTGGGATTCCCCAACCCAAGTGCAGCACCTTGCACTTGGCCTTGTTCAACTTAAGAGGTTCTCGTGGGCCCACTTTTTGAGCCTGTCCAGGTCCATCTGGATGGCTTATATTCCTTCTATTGCGTCAACTTCACCATTCAGCTTGGTGTCATCAGCAAACTCGCAGAGGGTGCACACAGTTTTTCTATTTTATGAACATCGTATCTTCTAATGATACTAGGTCTTTTAACGATCTCTAGTTTCTAAAATTCTGTTCCTCGCATTTTACGGGTAAACAGAACTGAAACCTCTCCCTTGAGGACTGAAAACTATTTTTTCACCTGTTACAATATTTTTTAAATTGTTGTATTTTACAGTTACAGTCTTAATATTCATATGTTAAATCTTAACTACTTTTAAGATTAAAGGTATGGTTCTATGAGACAGGATGATTTAACATATAGCAAATATATCAGAAGCAGAACGTCTTGCTCTATCCTCTTCAGCACTTAACCTTTGTTGTCCCTAGCTTCCACTTATGCAAGTCTGTTTTACTGTGTGCCCCTATAAATAGTTTAGCTCAGAAAAATGGTAGAGCTATAATGCTAAACCACACACCAGTAATAAGGCCCCCCTCCTCTGAAATGGTGTGGAGCTTTCTGCCATTTTGATTAGCACAGTTGGCTCAGTGAAGGTTGTGACAAATCCCTGATCTGGAAGAAGGAGCAGGGCAGGTCATACAGCCACAGTTAAAGTAAGAGCATGTCTGAGTAGCAGCACTCTATTATATTAGGTCAGCTACCCATAGAAGGACAGGTTTGAGAGTAGGTATATCCTAGTATTTTCTGGGTTCATCCCTGGAGTGTTCTCTAGGCACATCTACAACAGCCTTTTTTTTTTTTTAAGCTGTTTCTGATTAAACAGTATAGGAAAGAGGCATCTGATTATTTACTTGCTGCAACAACTCCTCAATGAGTTACATAAGTTACATACTTACACAGGTTGAGATGGATTGTAGAATAAATTCACTGCTGTCAGCTTGAATATGTTAATTAGTAGCATATGAGAATTATCATGATTAGTTTCTGTAGTGTCTGAGGCACAGACTCAGATGTGAACAATCCAAATCATTTATTACAGGTCCTAACACCCCTTATATACATTTACAAGCTTTCTCTTTTAACTTTCCCACCTGCCTTTACATGTCAACAAAACATTCCACAAACGCTCTTTAACCATGCATGCAGGTGCTTATCCAATCAGTCATGAGTCATTCCTAGCCATGTGTCCTTCCAATCAGGGTTATCATCATGTGGCCATCATGCAGCTTACTTGACTTTGTTTTTCTCTTCTTCTAGAGATGTCCTTGGTTCTCAGCCTTGCTTTCTCATGTCATTTATCTTGCTCCACAGCTTCAGCTGTGAATAGTCTGTCTTGTATTCCCACAATTAGTGAGCCTGATTTGTCAAAGTCAATTTCTATCGGGATGTACATTTAATATATTAAATGTCTTCCAGAGATTCTTCACTTAAAATACATAGAATCATAGAACGGCTTGAGTTGGAAGGAACCTCAAGGATCATCAAGCTCCAACCTCCCTGCTGTAGGCAGGGTCACCAACCTCTGTATCTAATACTAGATTAGGCTGCTCAGGGCCCAATCCAATCTGGCCTTGAACACCTCCAGGGATGGGGTATCCACAGCCTCTCTGGGCAGCCTGTACATTATCTATTTTGTTTAAACCACATTCAGCAATACCACAACTTTTTGTTGCTGATACCTGTTGCCAAGTGTTGTACATTCTCTACTGTGCATCAGGAAGTGTTCTGTAGATTTGTTATAGGACACTAAAAAAAAAAAAATGATCAGGATCAAAAGCTTTCAGGTGTGCACACAGCCTTGATGAAAGGTAAAGCTATGCTTCTACAGAGGTTCCATTTAAAAAAAAGCTTTCATAGTAAGTAATTTAATATCAGTTATAAACTGTATAATAAACAGCCTTCTGAATAATTACTAAATACCTTAGTTATATCTAATGCAAGAGCTTGGGTTTTTGACTCTCAGTGTATATTGTTATATGTAGGTTGCTCCAAAATTAATGCCTCCTATTTGTTTCCACGGAAATGAAGATACAAAGAACACAATAACATTATGTGATAGAGCAAGTTCTCGGATACAAAATGTGCTCACCACTATTAGCTATGCATTTTCACTAGCATGCCATGATTGTAAAAACCTGCACCAGCAGAGGTGACCCACTGTCACCACTGTTGAAACGCACCACCCACCCCTCACTATGCTCACATCCACTGTTTGGTCTCCATAAATGTTCAGCAAGCATCAGTGAATATCAGTGGTGCCCTTTTTTCTACATGGAGGAATTCAGTGACATACCTTTGCTTCATATGCACTTCCACATCAGACACCATTTTGTCAGACTGCCCCTCTGCTGCCATCTGTCACACTGCAACAACACAGAATGGGATATTGGTGGGGAAGTTCAACCTCTGCTTCCATAACACCAACATCCACCTCTGATGTCTTGCGCTGCCATAATAAAGTAGGAGGTATTACTTTTGGAGCAGCCCTCATAGTTTTAGTTAAATGTTGTAAATACTGTTGTTTCAGACTCAGAATGATTTCATGGTGATCTGCAATGTTGCAAAAATCTTAGAGCTTGTAGTGCCACTAATGGAGCACCCAAGCGAGACTTTCCTTGCCACTATTGAGGAAGACCTCATGAAACTCATCATCAAATATGGCATGGCGGTAAGCTTTTAATTGCTAATATTAAACGTTATTCAATTTCATGTTGTGAAATACATTATTTTGATTTAATGAAAGTCTGTCTTTATTATGAAATTGCTTATGCTGGTCATAGGACTGATGAGCCATGGAACAACAAAAAACAGCATTTTTGGTTTACTGGAGTTTCTATGTATTGCTGCTATATTTTAATGGTTATAAGTTTAGGTAGGCTTTCAGAGCAGTCTATTAGATAAACTGTTAGTTTGTTTTAGTTCTACATAGAATTTGAAGTTTTTGTGGAGCTAAGTATGTAATTTATTTGTTGTTTCTTGTTCCTAGGTTGTTCAGCATTGTGTGAGCTGTCTTGGGGCTGTTGTGAACAAGGTCACTCAGAACTATAAATTTGTGTGGGCCTGTTTTAATAGATACTATGGTAAGTAAAGTCACAGTATGTAAGTTCCACATTTCAGTTTGGGCTACAAGTCTTAGGGATACACCATGTTTAAATACTGTGATTAAAACTTTTATCTTACTGTAGGCGCGCTTTCAAAATTAAAAAGTCAACACCAAGAAGACCCCAACAGTACAGTACTTACTGCCAATAAACCAGCACTGCTCAGATCACTTTTCACTGTTGGAGCACTATGTCGGCATTTTGATTTTGATCAGGAAGATTTTAAAGGCAACAGTAAGGTAAAATAACTTGTATTTACTCTCCAAGTCTTAAGCATATTGAATGTTTCACTTTTATTTGAAAGCACAGTATTCCTGGTCTCTTAATGCTGTATTTTTTATAATGCATACAATAATATTTTCTATTTGTAAATATGTGCAAAAACTGTGCAGTAAGAATGTTTCTTTTTCTTTTTGACATTTGTGTTTTTTGTAAGAGATTAAAACAAAGATAATAGTAATTTGAAGATGAGAAAGATGATCTTATTTACTCAGGTTAACATTAAGGATAAAGTGCTTGAACTGCTGATGTATTTTACAAAGCATTCAGATGAAGAAGTACAGACAAAAGCCATTATTGGACTGGGTAAGAAATATTTAATAGCCCTTATTATTCTGCTATGGTAAATATTCATGCATTGTAACAGGAATTCATGTATTTGTATAGTAGCAGGGAAGTTTGTTTAAAATCAGCTTCACTACATGTTCTACTTGAGAAATTGCTAGATAAATATAGTCAAAGGGATTCTAGTTGTATACTTCTGCAACAGAGCAGATGCTTTTAACAGTGAAAGCCTTTTTGATGTGTCCTAGTTTTAAAAAGCAGTAGATTTACAAAGTAATTGAGACTACTTATTTTTCTTCCACATGCAAGTAATTTTTATCTCCAAATCTTGTTTTTCACTCCTCAAGGCATGGTTAAAGAATAACTAGAAAAAATTATGGAAAAATCTTGAGATTTAAAGTTTAGGGCCAGATCTTCTACAGGAGGACTCCATGAGTTTATAACAAGCAGGGAGTTGTTCTATGAAATTTCATAAGGCATTGAAATGATGTCATAGCCTAAATATCACTGTTTTAGCGTTTTGGCTGTATTTCAATACTAAATAGATTCTTTATCTGAAGGCATCGGTATGGTATATCAGTCATTTGAAGTAGTGTATGAACTGCCATTGAGTGGTGCATATCGCATTCCTCCTCTGCTCAAGGAAAGAAACTGTGCTTGTGAGAAAATGTTATTTGGGCAGGTAGGCCTTGGTTTCTGGAAGAGTTCAGTTCATGGTTATGGCTTGGTCTAAGGAAAGTTCTCTTCCGTGCATGTGAGCATGCTTTAATTTAAACTGTGAGATATAGTTTAACTACAGATAATAATTTGCCTTCTTTTGCTGCTGTTTAGGTGGCTTTTTAGATGGCTAGTAAGGGCTCTGAGGATAAGGAATGAGACTTAATCTTTATTTGATATTGTGAGAAACCATTTCAGAGAGCTGAGCAGAACTAATGGCTTTAGAGTTGTTCCAGTTGCAGGTGCAATGCTATGTTGTTCTGGATTTTTTTGGCATTACATTAAGCTGTACAATGCTTTTTGTCATTTCTCCACATTAATTACCCGATATAGGACGTGGCTGCTGTGCTAACCATGGACGATTGCTTTATTTATGGATGCTGACGATATTATATTGCTAAAAATATTGCTAAATTACAGACTGAACTGTGACTAGTTTAGGGGAAGGGGAGAAGGTGTAGGTGGCTATCAGTAATTATTTTTCAGATTTTTTTCCTCTATAAGCACATCACTCTTCATTTTAATTAAACCTCAGACAAATGTTTTGAGTGATAGATCTCTTCTACATACTGGTTCAATTTTGAGATTAGCTGTTGTACATGTAGATGCATGGTAGACAGGGCAAAAACCCATTTTACAGGCTGGTAATTGAGCTAAGTTGTTACATTTTTCAACATTTGTGTGCAGCAGTAAGGTGAAAATAGCCAGCAAGCAATTTTAACATTTATAGACAATAAAGATGTCACATTAAGAATATATTTTTTTTCTATCAGTAATTTAGTATATCTTTTCAGTAAGGATGCTTAACAGGTACAGCTTTTGCTTTAGGATGCCTCACTCCTGTTGAGGGATTAGTCTATTCACAAAGAAGCAAAATAGCTTCTGACAGGCTCTTGGCAGTACTAGGCAAAGCATTTACAAGTAGGCCAATAGTTATATTAAAAAAAAAAAAAAAAAAAAACACTTAACTGGTGAAGGGGATCTCTAGCTATGCAGCATTCCTCCTCAGAAAGCAGCCTAAGTCTAAGAGATGCTCTCCTTTTTGCGGCTGGCCCTTATATGAGCCCAGGGTGACTCCATCCTGGGTCCACCCCTTCTGGTCACCTGGGGGAGCACAAGCTGGAAATAATCTACCTGTGCTCCCTGGGCCAGCAACACACCTTCACCCAAGTGCTCAATCACCAGTTCAAGCCATGACCTAACAGTTCTACAGGGATTATATTTAACCATAAATTTTTTGAAGCCTGGTTATGGTTCTGTTCCCAATGTGTATGCAAGGCAAGTCAAGAATATAACATTTTGTTAGTAATTTTAGCTAAGCCTGTAAGTATCTAACAGGCGATGTCTCACTCAGCCAAGTTCAATGCTTACTTCTAACAGACTGAAAATGAAAGTATGAAAAAAAATAGTGTGAGTGCAGCCCTTTTTATCCCCCATTCTTCTTTTATATGTATGTTTTCTGTTTGCTTGTTCAGAATATTAGTTTCCTGCAGTCATGAAAAAGACACTTAACGTTTGCTTTCCTTGAGCAGTCTAAAAAATAAGCTAAGTAGTTAAAGTTGTAGTGTTCCCATTACTATTTTTATGATACACTGTGAAAGTTTGGCAGCAGCAATCTAAAACTGTATATACAGTCACTAATTTACATCAGAGTTTTTATGAAATAAAGACTTCTCTGACTGAGAATAGCCAATTCTTTGCTAAGGCTAAAGCTGCAGATTGCTTTTCTCCAAATATATTGGAAAAATAACAGATTATTTTTAGTAATGTTCTTCACTGGTTCTTTAGAGACCTCTCGACCACTCAGATTCAAGCCACTACACTGGATGTTCCAGACCTGTATAACTCCTTACTGCAGCTGCCCCAAATTGGCACCCTGTCTTTATCAAGAGTATTGCTGTTGTGGCTGATAGAACTCCTTATAAGTTTTGGGTGGTGTCCATAGGAAGCAAACAATACTGTTTGGACCAGAAAAGCTATGCTATTCTAGGAATTAGAAGGGGATACATTTCATACCTGTATTTTGAAGCAAGATTTAAAAAATAGAAATGCAATTTCTAGATGATGATAATGTAGAATATTTATTCTTTCCTCCCCTTAGGATTTGCATTTATACAACACCCAAGCTTAATGTTCGAACAGGAAGTAAAGTCTCTGTACAACAGTATTCTTTCAGATAAGAACTGTTCAGTAAACTTAAAAATCCAGGTATTAAAAAATCTTCAGACCTATTTGCAAGAGGAGGATACACGTATGCAGCAGGCAGACAGAGACTGTAAGTATTAAGGTCTGTGCTAATGAGGCATTCAAAATCCAACTTTATTGCTTACAATTACTATATATTTGAACTGAGTCACTTAAGATTGTTATCTGTCAATTTTGTATGCAAAGTGTCCTGGAAGAATCTTCAAACTCCCTTATGTGCATAGGTATATTGAGATGTGCAGCTTATTAACTTTCAAGATGTATATAAATCCTGGAAGCAATCTGGAATACATAATTGCTGTAGTGATGGTAGTAATACTTTCTATCAAAATCTTCTCTAAGGTTAATTTTCAGATACTAAATAAGAAATAAGACGACATTTTTAAATGGAACCCCCTTTTTTTTTTTTAAGAACAAGCGTTTAAGGTTGTGTCTCTAGCTTTCTTGAAAAATATTTACTAACAGGATTGTTCTACATTTCATAAGATCATAAACCCATTCTAAGACAGCTGAAAATTGTATATATTGTAAAGCTTAAAGATCAGTAAGCATCAATTAATAGCAAGGTAGATTATACTGTAGTGAGTGTGCTATTGCTTTTGTCTTTTTTACAGGGAAAAAAGTAGCAAAACAGGAAGACCTGA